AAAAAAAAATGAGCATGAATGTAAGTGTCCTAACACAAGGGCCAGTCACTTTGTTTATTGCATTAGAATGTTTGCTAGCATCCAGGGTGGATTAGTCTTATCCATTTTGTTATTTTACAGTAGTAGAAATCAAACCCAAGGTCTCCTACCTGCTAACCAGTTGCTCTACTGCAAGTAAGGATTTATTTGGCCCCTAAGATTCTATTTGGATTTGCGGAAACCAAGGCATGAAACAATTGCTATTTAATCTGCTGAAGGGTCCACATTTGGTCTTTTTTTCTCAATAATAATAATTGATGCTAAAACATTTTTTAAAAAAAGGAAAAGAAAGGAGGTGCTTGGGGAATTAGTATGCATTTCGAAGTAGACCTAGGACAGTGGTGTTGATGGAGGGCCCCTGAGAGCAGATGGTGATGATGGCAGAGGCGAGGATGCAGGGGTCCCTGCAGCTGGTGGGGTCTGTGGAGGAGGCGAGAGACACTGCATTCCAGAGTTCTTGTGTGACTGGTTCCTATTCCCTCCATGTCCATAGACCCCATTCCCACTCTCCAGACTTTCTGACACTTAACTTTTCGGCCTTTCCATTCTGTGGGGTCTCCATGTAGGAGTGGAATGTGGCATCATCGTAGTGCAGAGTGACCTCTGGTAAAATCACGCATTTGACCTCAGGACCTGGTTTTGTGATTTTATAAGATGGTCAAGATTTAGGAAGGTGGACTCTTTTTAGATACAGTCTTGGGGGAATGGAAGGATGTAACAATCAGCATCAGGCTGAGATATGGACGTATTTGTTGCATGCCTGTAATCCCAGCTACTTGGGAGGCCGAGGCAGGAGAATTCACAAAGCCCACCTGGGCAACTTAGCCAGATCTTGTCTCAAAAAAGCTGGTGTTGTAGCTTGGTGGTAGAGCACCCCAGGGTTCAACTCCCAGTGACCCCCCCCCATCCAAAGGAACCTATTGCAGGTGACTGAAGTATTCAAAATAGAGTTTTGACTGAACTATGGGGACTGGGGGGTGGGTTGCTGAAATCATTCCCATGCACCATGAAATTGACCAAACAATTCAGTCTGGTTTCTCTTTTTTAGAATGGAAAATATTAAAAAGTAAATAAGCACCTCAAATAAGATTGCTGATTATTTCCTTTCCTTGTCACAGACTGGTTTGACAGACCCAGGCTGTTTGGGGGCTCTCAGTGGTATCAGCCTAGAGCACACAGCTTTAAATTGATGTGAGGTGTGGACGGGGAGCTAACAGGCAGGTGGTGAACTGATGGCTTCCTTCCTTTGCTTTCTGTACCATCTACAAGGGCCCATATTTAAAGTTTAAGCTCGGGCTGCATGATGGATTGACCTAGTTCGACACCCACCTGTGTAGTTAAATACACCCATTTCCCTCCTTTCTAAAGGAGGTGCTGAAAGCTGGTGTAAACAGTATACAGGCCCCTTAATTAAACTGGACTTTAACAAAGCAAACATGGAAACATGCTTGGGGATCAGTTTACATCATCAGATAGCCCTTCCCTCCAACTCCTGAATGTCACTTGCCCAGTTACTCCTATCTGGAACTAGGGCTGATGCTCAGCTTGCTGGGAAAGGAGACTGGTGACCCCTCCTGCCCTTGTCTTTGTGTCTCCAGAGGAGCAGGAGTTGGAGAAGTCCCAGCCCAACCAGGGCATTTAGGGAAGGCCCCACCCCTTCGGCCTCGAGCCGGCTATGGAAATCCCTGCCTGCTCTCCTGGGCTTTTTATTGGGTGAGCTTTTCTTTCAAAACCCTTCATCTGGTGTCTGTTACACAGTCCCTTCCAAGCATGGCCGTGTGCTGAAGCAATCAGCTCCGGTATCGGTATCTTCTACCAGCGGCCCAAACCCTAAAATCCCCGAGAGGCACCTGTCATAATCCAGACTTGACCTTTTTGGGGTTTCTGCCATGCCTCACCCCTCTCCTTTTAGGGCAGGAGGCTTTCTGAGGAGGGAATGAAGTCAGTCCAGCTAACTAGGTACTGCAGTGAGCAAGTACTGGAACAGTCCAGCTCTGGATTTCAGCTATTCGTTATGTGACTTTGAATAAGTCACCTGTGAGACTTGGTTTCCCCATCCATATGATGTGGGATAATATGTATAGGTTTGCTGTATTCATGTTTGATGAGCAAATACTTAGAGCTAGCTGGGGTGTGAGTATCTGGTCATCCACATTCACTCATTTAGTCTTGTTTTAATTGTCCATCTGATGCCAGCACTAGGGTAGACTCCATTTACAGTAATGAATAAAGCAGATATGGTCAGGCACGGTGGCACACATCTATAATCCCAGCACCCTGGGAGGCTGAGGCAGAAGGATTGCAAGTTCCAGACCAGCCGGGGCAACTAGGTAAGACCTTATCTTTTTAAAAGCCCTGAGGGCATAGGTCAGTAATAGAGTGCTTGCCTAGGATGTAGGAAGCAAGGCTCAATCCCCAGCACCCCCTCAAAATGTTTTCACAAACAAATGGTTGCATGGATAAGTAAGTATTCATTACCTTGGGTTATTTTTTCCTCTCAAACTCTACTTTATGGCCTCAGACACAGCCTGGAGGTTGACTGTAAATGCGCAGGCAAGAGCTGGTCTGTTGGAACACAGATATCCTTGTGAGTCTGCTTCCAGGTCATCCCCTTGGGAAGCCCACCCCTGGTTCTAAATGTGTCCTTTGGGGTACTATGTGCTGAGTACATCTCTGAAAGCTAGAGGCCAGAGAAGGGAGCCCTCAAGTGTAAATCTGGAAATGGAAACCCAGTAGCAGGCCTTTTGCTGTACTGCAGATTGAAGCCAAGGAATTGGCTACAAGTGCTCTACCACTGAGCTGCATTTCCAGCCCTTTTCATTTTTTAGTTTTGGGACAGAGCCTTGCTAATAGGCCAGGCTGGTTTCAAACTTGTGATCCTCCTACCTCAGCCTCCTGAGATTAGAGGCATGTGCCACCACATCCATTTTACAGCTAAGTCATTTGTAAGCATTTTTCATTTTTTTGTCAATTAAAGAGAAATTGGTGCAGGGCATGGTGGCACACACCTGTAATCCCAGCACTCAGGAGGCTGAGGCAGTAGGATCTTTGTGAGTTCGAGAGCAGCCTGGGCTACATAGTGAGTTCCAGGTCAGTCTCAACTACATAGTGAGACCCTGTCTCAAAAAACCAAAAAAAAAGAAAAAAAGAAAGTGGTGGTGCCCACTCCTTCATTTGTAAAAATGACGCTCTGGATACCCCAGTTTAGGTGCA